GTGGGACTTTACCGTCTGTCTCTACCAGCAGATGTCCGGGTAGTTTAGCTCCCCCATGACTACCGCCTCTTTAGCTTTTATAAGGCGTGAGGAGCACCAGCATGTTCTGGGGGGAGGGAGGAAGAGAAGGAGGGGAATGGGGGTCAGGCACTGGCAGGGCTGGAGGGGCGGGACAAGCCATGGATCTTTGCATATGAGTCCAGGTAGGAAAAAAGTTGAGAACCACTGGTCTAACCTGTCTAGATTGAACCAATTTCCAAGTGAATAGGCATTCACTTTTAACTGAGGAAATGCAGGCACATGCCTGCAGTCACTCGGGACAGAAGCTGCGGGGGCACTAGAGTATGCCCTTGGCAGCAGGGAAGCTGTGCTGTGGGGGGGCGTGTGGCATGGCGAGCCCCGGCAGTAGCCTCAAGTGATCTGACCAGGGAGGGGGTTTATTCCTCAGGGGTGGGGGCGGGGGAATGGCCACTCACTGGCCAGCATGGCCACCTGAGGCAGAGGGGGCAGGGAGGGGGTTTATTTGCCCCTCTGCCCCCAGGGGGCTATGGCCTGGGTCTGCCAGCCCCAATCACCACTGCCGATCGCTCCCTGCATGGGGTAAGCAATGGAATAAGCGCCCTCCCTGCTCCCTCTGTCAGATGGTGGAGTGTAGGGGAAAATAACCCCTGTCCCTGCCCCTAAGGGGGCCATGGTGGCCAGCCTCTGGCCACACCCCTGCCATGGAAGCAGCGAGGGGGCAGGGACCGTGATGGGGGCAGCAGCCCCTGTCAAGCTTTCCTGGGAGTGCAAGCCTCTTCCTGGCAGGGAGGCTGCGCTGTGGGTGGGGGCGGGAGCAGGGCGGGCAGAGCTGCTGCAGACTGTGTGGAGCAAGTGACGGCAGTGCTAGGACAGGCTTGGGGGGCTATGAACCCTGGTCTTCTACTGCAGCAGCAAGGGAAGAGTGCCGGGCAGACCCTGGCTTGGATCTGTGCCAGTGGGACAGGGAGGGGGGAATTAAACCCCTTTCCTGGCCAGTTCACTTGAGGCTACAGCTAGGGCTGGCCATAGTTTCATAGTTGGTAGGGTCGGAAGGGACCTGAGCAGATCATCAAGTCCGACCCCCTGGCATGGCAGGAAAGAGTACTGGGGTCAAATGACCCGGCAAGGTGTTCATCTAGCCTCCTCTTCAAGAACCCCAGGGTAGGAGCCAGCACCACTTCTCTTGGAAGTTGGTTCCAGATCCCAGCCGCCCTGACAGTGAAGTAGTACCTCCTGATGTCTAGTCTGAACCTACCCTCTGCTAGCTTGTGACCGTTATTTCTAATTCACTCCTGGTAGTGCTCGGGGGAACAGGGACTCCCCCAATACCTGCTGGTCCCCTCTGACTAGTTTGTAAACGGCCTCTAGATCCCTCCATAGCTTTCTCTTGTGGAGGCTGAACAGGTTCAGGTTCCTTAGCCTCTCCTCGTGGGGCCTGTCCTGCTGACCCCTGAGCATGTGAGTGGCCCTCCTCTGGACCCTCTCCATGTTGTCCACATCCCTCCTGAAGTGCAGCTCCCAGAACTGGATGCAGTACTCCAACTGTGGCCTGACCAGTATTGCATAGAGGGGGAGGATCACCTCCTTGGACCTGTTTGAGATGCATCTGTGGATGTATGACAAGGTAGGGTTGGCCTTCCTAACTGCATCCCCACACTGTCAGCCCATGTTCATTTTGGCATCAATAATGACTCCAAGATCCTTTTCTGCCTCTGCAGTGACGAGAAGGGAGTTCCCCAGCCTGTCGGTATGTTGCTGGTTCTTCCCCCCCAAGTGCAGCACCTTTCACTTGTCAGTGTTGAAACCCATCCTGTTCTCATCTGCCCACCCCTGTAACCTGTCTAGGTCCAATTGCAGCCTGTTCCTCCCTTCTAGCGTGCCTACTTCTCCCCACATCTTCGTGTCGTCTGCGAATTTGAACAGGGTGCTTTTTACCCCCTCGTCCAAGTCGCTGATGAAGATGTTGAACACTGGGGTTCCGAGGACCGAGCCCTGGGGGACCCCACTGCCCACATCCCTCCAGGTCAAATAACACCCGTCCACCACCACTCTCTGGGTGCGGCCTTCCAGCCAATTAGTGACCCATTTGACTGTGTAGGTGTCGACGCCACAGTCCCCTAGATTTTTAATGAGAATGAGGCCTTCCTAAAGTCCAGAAAGACTATGTCCACTGCTACACCTGCATCTAAGGATTTTGTGACCTGGTCATAGAAGGCCACCAGGTTGGTCTGATAGGACCTGTCTCGAATTAACACATGCCCCCACCACTGGAGCAGCAAGCAAAGAAATGTCTGACAGGGGCTGCTGCTTCCGTGCCTGTCGGATTCTGCTGGGATCCATGCCGGTGGGACAGGGGAGAGAAATGAGGAATAAACCTCTTCCCTGCCCCCTTCACTTTAGGGGGGCCGGAATCTGTCCACACTCCTGCCCCTACACCCAATAGGAAGCAGAGAGTCGGGGCCAGCCCTGATTCACTGGAGCATAGAGCACAGCCCATCCCAGGTTGCAGAGCATGTCAGGATGCTGGGGGACTCTGGTTTAATTTAAACCAGGAGGGTGTCTGGGACAGAAGTTCCATAAACCGGTTTGAGCTCAATCAGCTCAGTCTGATATTATATTCAACCAGGTCTATCTCAGACCAGTTTCAGCCATTTTGAAAACTGGTTTATGTGCACTCAACTTATGTTCTGTTGCAGGTTTAAACCAGTTTCTGATCACTTAAACTGGTTTATGTGTAACTTCTGTCCCTAGCCTTGAAGACAAACAGCAGTGGGGTGGGCAGTCTGGGTGCACAGCTCTCCCTCTCCCCCCTTGGCTTTTCTTCCTTTTTTATCTCTCACTCCACAAGTATTTTGCTGTTTCTTGAGCCCTTTCTGTGGTGCATTATCATACAAGCACACACAGTGTTAACAGGTTACTCTTTATCCACCTTCTCTTGGGGCATTTGTGCTGGTTAGAGCCTTTCAGACCTTCATCCAGATATACCTAGTTGCCTCTGTGTGGTGTCTTGGGCAGCCCAATTAGCACTGTCAAGTGACAGGGCCAAATTTGCACCCCTAATGCTTCCTGGATGCAGCCCCACCACAATATATCTAGGAGTTTTTCCATGACACTCAAAATTAATGGGAGTGTAAAAATGATGTTGTAGTCATAATGGTCCAACAATTATGCACAAGGCAAGGATTTCTTAGGGTGATGTCTTTTATTGAACCAACTATGTTGTTGGGATAAAGTTAGACAAGCTTTCAGATGTAAGATTCTTCTTCAGGTTTTACATTTGAGAGCTTGTCTAACTTTATCTCAACTATGTAGGTGGTCCAGGAAGAGATCATCCTAGGAAATCCTTGCCTCTTGTTTAAAATAGTGGTGATTTTGGAGTCAGATGATGCTGTTATATTTACATGTTTTGCCAGTGTCTCAACCTATGAACAAGCAGTGAATAAGAAGCCAGATTATCTAATTCAAGATAGTGTCAGACTGATGTTGTAGCCATGATGGTCCAGGAATTATGTGAGAGGCAAGGATTTCTTAGGGTAAGATCTTTTATTAGACCATTTGTGGAGTTGGAATAAAGTTAGGCAAGCTTTCAAACGCAAGATGTTCTGTCTGGAGCAGTGTAATGTGCTTGAGAGTGCTGCTGCCAGGCCCAGTAAGTTTACTGTGCAGACAGGGCCAGCATTTGTTTTATGACAAAGTTTTCAAGTTTTTGTTAGCACCTCAGCTACTTCATATTTGAACTTCAGAACTCTTGGCTATGTACTGTCCTGGTCTGGTGACATGTTCCATTTTAAATGAACAGTCTGCTCAAGCATCACTTCCACAGTCACCCCAGTTCTTTTACCAGGAAAGAATGGTTTGGAGGTAGGAATCTCTGTAGCAAAAAAATATGTTTAGTTTCTCAGCAAGGTCTTTATCTTCCTTAATCATTCCTTTCAATCTCTGGTGATTCAGTGCTTCTGAAGTGATGACTCTTGTAGGCTTCCTGGCACAGATATACTTTGTTTAAAGAATCTCTTTTTTGTTTTTTACCCCTTTATATATTTGCTCTTCAGACTTCATTTTAGACCATCCATCTGATTTTCCTCGTGATGCCTGCTGTAATATGCACTCTTGTTTATAGGATCAATTTTTCAAATTTTGAAGGATTTTTATTTGGCTTGCATGGTCGCAGAAGCTTTTCTATGAAAATGGTTTCCTCCTTGCATTCTAGTCTCTTGACTCGCTCAGGAGTGCATATCTTGTGCTAAGCATTGCACATACTGTTTTGTTTAGAAGCATCAAGGTTGTTTCTAGGGATTTTACTTGCTTGGGAGAAACGCATTTTACTTGCTTGGCTTTAGCCTTTGCTAACTTCCTTTCATTCAAATTTAATTGTCCGAATCATTAAGACTTCATTCTTCAAATCTTTTGTTTAGGCATCCTATTGACACAAAGAGGTTTAGCACGTGTACTAATCACTCAACGCAGTATATTTTGCAAGGTAATTGGGACACAGTGCAAATTATTAACTTTGTGAGCTATGTGAAGCTCCATGTTAGTGAGTTTTAATTGGCTTGCATCATAAAGTGTTCTATGATTACTGTACTTATCTGAATTTACAATGATCCCCCCAATAATTAGATTCTATACACAGAAAATGTATAAATTAGTTATAATTTTCCATGTATAGAATGCAGCTGTTGGGGGGCACCTGAAATTTGTCCACTTTTTCCCTTGTGATAAGGGAGAAAGCAGTGGTGGGGGAGTTGAGCAGCCTGACCCCCATCCCTTTCCTCTTGCTGCCTGTCCCTCCCACCACCTGCTCCCAGTGCTGCCTGCCCTCCCTGTAGTGCCTTTGCCCCTTGGTGTCTGCCCCTCTTCCCCACCGTCAGCCACTGCTCACCCTGAGTTGTGGTCCAGGGCATGGAGCAGGTACTGGCTCCAAGCCCCGTCCAGCCATGCAGTAGCATTTGCAGTGACAGCAGTGGCAGCTCCAGTCCCAGCTCTGACCTTGGAGTGAGGCTGGCAGTGTTGCTGCTCCAGCCACTGCTGTGTAGCTGGGCAGGGGCTGAAGCCCAGACTGTGGCTTAGTGTCCTAGGCTGGACCTGGAGCCACGACTCTGAGTAATCAGCAGTGGCACAGGGTGGCATGAGGCATAGGGCGCGGCGGGGGGGGGGCAGCAGCAGTGGTGTGGAGCAGAGTCTGTAGGGGGGCCAGGGGGCAGGGCAATGGCTGAGGCTTTGACTCTGATCCGAAGGGTGGGGTGGAGCCTTAGGTGCAGTAGCTGCCTGCCCCGCCCCCCACCTTGTACACAAATCCAAGGCATGGGGCTTCCCCCCCTGTACTGAATGGGGGTGGGGAGGAAACCTCATCTTGGATTCAAGTCAATATGGTAATTTGACAATAGTCATATATATCTAATAATAAAATGTTCCATGTACTTTCCCCCAGTTGCTACTGCCACTAGACTCTGACTGACCACAAGGGGGAGGGAGTTCCAGAGCTGAAGAGCAACTACTGAAAACACCCTCCTTTGCATATTTGCCAGTGAACTTAGTGCACAGATGATATTTGCAGGAGGTTGTAAATTATAGGAAAGGTTCTCAATTAAAGGAAAGTATCATCACAGGGAAGGTTGTCACAAGAGATATACCATACAAGAAATAGATATACTGCAAGGGTTTAGAAGGCTATATATTTATTTTCTGTCCTTCTATTGTAGGATAAGCAAGATGAACTTTTACAAGAGGTATGTGTACTTTGAATAAGTTATTTATCATTAAATAGAGTGTGTCTGTTCTCCATATATCTATATTTTAAAAGAAATCAGTCTTTCTAGAAGAAATTAGTCAGACCACTTTCTGTGAAGTGATGCAGATTACTTTGTGTTTCTTTAAGGGAAACACTAATATTAAAAAAATACTTTGTGTTATAAGATTGTTAATTTAAAAGTGGGTACCCTCTATGTTGCTTTTACATTCTATTTATTTTTGTGAAAGGACTATAGACCATAACTGCATTTACTAGGTAGTAATAGTGTTGATGGGATGCAAGGATTTCCTTGGTGATATCTTTTATTAGACCAGCTGTATGGTTGGGAGAGTTGATAGGTAACCTTTTAGGCACAAATTGCTCTTTGGATTCTGTGGAAGAAAAGTCTACTATAGTAAATGTGCCTGTGTTAGTTTATGGTTACATTATATCTTTCTTCATCTCTTGGGAGACTTTAATAAGGATACGTGGTGCCAAGCATTTTGGAAAGCATAGGATTTGTGATGTAGTAAAGGACATAGGTATATTAGAATTTTGTTTTAAAATTCTAGCTCACTGGCTGAGCTGGCTGCTTTTAATGAAAGTTTGAATGCTATTCAAATGTTAGTATTAGAATGATTTAAAAAAAATGTTTTTCTCTTTGGCATTAACGCTAATTTGTTTCAAATATGATTCACTGTTTTTAATTATTTTAGTTTCTTGTGTTGACTTATTTTCTGTTTGTTCACAGGTTGAGGAACTGGCAAAACATATGTCAATATACCCGCATAATTTGGCTCCAAAAATCGCCACTAATTTAGAGTGTCCTGTAAATGCCAAAGAAGAACTCCTAGATGAATGTGAGGCGATGTGGAAGAAGTTGGAAGAGGTATGAAGATCATTAGAAATAGACATGGGGCCACATCCTACTTTACTTATGCACCTGATTATGAACCTGTTCCATCTGGAAAGTCCCCCAAAATCTATCAGTGCATCCATTTTTGTAATATGCTTTTACGTTCGCCTTAAAGCCAAGTCCCAAAAAGCAGTATTTTATTATTACAAAATAATAATTTGTATTAACAGTTTTTCAGACACTATTGAAGGGTGAAATAGGGTCCCACTTAGATTCTTAACAGGTGGAGCAAGATCTGGCTATAGGTATATTGCATTTGATCATTGTATTTTTGCAAAGAAAACTCTTGGGGAAATAATACAAAATAAAAGCTGAAAGTGGAAATGGTGCTGAAGGACAAAGTACAGTGTCTTTGTTTACAATATTCTAATGTTATGTTTGTTTTAGTTTAACACAATGGAATGAAATCTGAAAAGTAACAATAATGAGTGGAAATAGTTCCAAATCTGAAGTAGTTACTATCTATGTAGACTAGAAATAGAGGCACAGAGCTAAATCAACATCTTTTGTAAGCTAAGGCAGTAACTGCAGCAGAACAGAACTCTGGTCTCTCAACTCCCAGTTCAGTGCCCTAATTGTGCTGTCTCAGTATTTCAAAATTAAGTAAAATTTCTAAAAGAAAGACTTGCTTTAAATGGTTTTGAAGGGACACTAGAGTGTTGATTTTGAATCAAACTGTCCAGTTCAGAATTCTGCTACTTAGAGTCTAAATGGTTTCAGCACAGTTTTACATGGCATTTCCACATAATACAATCTTCAGTACACCTGAAATAAGACAATTCAAGCTTTGTATGTTCACTAATGCACATATGTATTGTATATGCCTTCAGTTTTACTTAAAAATTATTTAGCCATTTTTGCTCAGTGTGTGACATTTTTGAAACAAGAAGAAACACTTTTATTTAGGCGTTTTAAAAAATTGGCTAAATATGTTTACTTACAATTTAACTTTTCAGTAATGTTTAGTTTACACAGGTTGAGTGCTATGCATTAAGAATTTATTACTGTCTAATTATGTGTGTAGGTCAGGACTAACTTTCTTTGTAAAATTTGTTTGATCAACATACAATATTAAGCAAAATGCACTAGGGGTGCACCGATAAAGATTTTTTGGGCTAATACCAATGGCTGCTGCTGGGTGTTCGTAAGCTGCGCTGGGCTCTTCCTGGCGGTTGCTCTTGGGCTGGGCCAGCAGGCAGTGGCTCTGGCATGGGGCTATGGCAGTAGGTCTAGTGGGGGCCCCCTCCCCAGCACTGCCACCTCCTGCCCTGCCCCACCCGGCCCAAGCACAGCTGCCAGGAAGAGCACGGTGCAGCCCCCAAGCAAGAGAGCACAGTGGCAGCCCACTCTTGCCCCACGCACAAATTCAGGGGGCACATGCCCCCCATGCCACCCCCATGGGGCACACAGTGGCAGGAGCTGCCCCCCCCCGCCCCTGGACAAGCCACCAGCTCCATCCCATGCCCCACCCCGCCCTGGATGGACAACCCCAGCCCCACTCCCTCCCTCACTGCAGGGGTCTTGATCTTCCCTCCTCCCATGCCCCTTTCCCCGCCACAGATTTACCAGGCAGAAGCTGCTTTCCAAGCTGCCAGGCTGCATTCCTGGCTGTGTGCATGCTGTGGCTGCATTCACGTACACGGCATTTATTGGCGACATTATCGGCCACATCGGCCAAAAAAAAGCCGATTGCCGATAATGTCAATTTTCCTTTTATCGGTGCTAATACAATATGGACTGATGTACTAGTGCAGCTCTAAAATGTACCTCCTGGAATTTAACAAGTATTAGGGAATAATATTTGTTGGTTCATCTAGTGTCCTTATCTGTTTAAAAAAAAAACACCTAAAATTATGTTTTCTGAGAGGATGTCGACTCTCTTTTTTGAATTGGGAGGAAGGCAGATTAAATTCTCTCAGATTGGGAATGGGATTAACATTTTTTAATTAGACTGAATATCTTTAGACTTGTGTGATAATTTCTATTATTAGCGTTCCCTTTTTCAGTTTCCTGTTACCTACTTGCTAAGAACCCTGTCCTTTCTTTCCCAAGTGTAGGATTTGATTCCAGTTAGACCACACTCCCTTGGTAGTGGCTTTGTGGCAATTTCTTCAGTTAACAAAGGTCCCATCCCTGTCCTTTTTGTGTTCTGCTGTCAGATCATCCATTCACTTGTCTTCTGGGTAAGGTCTGCAACACAGTGGTGGCAGCCACATTCACAATCCTGCTATATTTTTGGAGGAGTTTTAATAACCATTTGGCTTGCCTAAAAAATAAAGAATGATAAATAAGCATTGTATTTTTGCTTTTTCTCTTCTTTTCTTTCAAGTGTCAGAGTAAGCTAACACTTCTAGGAACAGAAACACTTACAGATTCAGATGCTAAGGTAAGATTCTGTTCTCTGTACTTAGTTTTCTCTAAATCAGCAAAATAATGGACTAGTCCTGTCAGTGCCTTTTGTGTTATCTTCTCTTAACATGTGATCAGTAAGAGGGAAGATTATAAATGTGTTTTGATACTCTGTTTTCAGTGGTCAGTGCTACAATCATAGTTTTGGACAGCTCTGAAGAAGAATCTTGTTTCCTCTGAAAGATTAGTCCTACTTAATTTTGTAGGATTTTATAATACTCCTTTTCTCTCTAGTATTTATGAGATGTTTTCTAGGCAGTTGATTATCCCAAGGTTACTTTGGTTCACAGATGGGTTCCAAATATTGCTGGTAGTCAGAGTTTTGCACTGAAACTACAATTATTGTAATCTTCTGTACTTTGACTATAGAACAGGAGCTCATCTTTATAAATGATCTGGACACTGGTGTCAGAAGCGAACTGGCTAAGTTTGCTGACAACACCAAACTTTGGGGAAGAGTATCCACACTTGAGGATAGGCTGGTGATCCAGGCTGACCTCGATAGGCTTACAAGGTGTGCAGATAAAAACCCGATGGTATTCGATACAGAGAAATGCAAGGTGTTCCACCTCGGGAAGGGAGGGAGAGAAGCCTGCATCAAACTTATAGGCTCGGCAATGCTACACTCGCTAGCACCATGACTTGGGGGTCATGAATGACCACAAGATGAACATGAGCCACCAATGCGATACTGCAGCTGGCAAAGCGAACAAATGTCTAGCTTGCATCTCCCAATGCATCTCAAGCAAGACCCAGGATGTCATCTTCTCACTGTACTCAGCCTTGGTGGGGCTGCAGCTGGAGTACTGCATCCAATTCTGGGCTCCGCAATTCAAGAAGGACATAGAGAAGCTTGAAAAAGTCCAGAGAAGAGCCATGCGCATGATCAGATGGCAAGAGAGCAGGCCTTATGAAGACAGGCTGTGAGCTATGGGACTTCAGCCTGGAGAAGCGCAGGCTCAGGGGTGACTTGGTGGCAGCCTATAAGTACATAAGGGTTGTGCATCAGGACCTGGAGGAATGCCTATTCACCAGAGCACCCCAAGGGATGACAAGGTCCAACGGTCACAAACTCCTGCAAGACCGTTTTAAGCTGGACATAAGGAAAATCTTTACTGTCCGAGCCCCCAAGGCCTGGAACAGGCTCCCTCCAGAGCTGGTGCAAGCATCTACTCTGGACACTTTTAAGAAACATTTGGACGCTTATCTTGCTGGGATCCTTTGACCCTAGCTGACTTCCTCCCCCATGGGCAGGGGGCTGGACCCAGTGACCTTGCAAGGTCCGTTCCAGCCCTAACGTCTGTGAAATCTATCACAAGAAAGGTCTTTACTTCTGTCAATAATATCTGCAAAATCTGAGACAGAAGATTTGTTCCAGGTTGTAATCTGGAACAGATCTGAAATATGTTTAGTTAAAGCTGATTTGAGCCACCTTTTGGATGAAGAAATTTATCCTTATCTTGCAGTTAAAGTTGAAATGAGCTTTAGTTCAAGTGCTGCTGCCATTTTTAAGTATGGGGAGGCTTCTAACTGGATCTGAGAGGGGCCAGGGCAGATGTGGGTTCAGGGCTCTCTGCCCTGCTGCCTTTACCCCATGAGCCATGCACTGGCCGCACGTCCCCTGCCTGTCAGGCAGCAGAAGGCACAACTTGCCACTGCCAAATGGGCAGGAGACACCTGGCCAGCATGCGGCTCCCCAGACAAAAGGCACCAGGGCAGGCAGCCTGCATCTGCCTTTGTCCCATGCACAAATCGTGCGGGGGGGCACATGCCCCCCATGCTTCCCCCAGGGGACGGGCATAGCGGCAGGGAGCACCTCCAGCCCCTGCCGTGGGTGGGGGAGCACCGTGGAGGCCTTGATCTGCCCCCCATCTCTTCCTTCCCCCATACACCTTCCTGTCCGCAGACCTACGTTCAGGGCACTGCTCTCCATGCTGCCCAGCTGCATTCCTAGCCACATGCATGCTGTGGAGCCCTGGCCAGAAGGCACATTATGTTTATTGATATATCATTGGCTTTGCTGGTCAAAAAAAGCTGATAGCCGATAATGTTAATTTTCCTTTTATTGATGCTGATCCAATATGGCACCAATATATAGGTGCACCTCTAGAATATACCCCTTGCTGGGAACATAGATATTCCTAATATGGTTAAGGGTTGAAGTTTAGGGCCTATGAGAGGTTTCGGGCGACCTCCCACTTTGAAAACAGCAAATAGAGGGATTCTATTTGAATTCTAAGTTTTAAAATCAATTCATAAAGATCATGCTTTACTATATTTACACACACGTTCCTGCAATTATTATTTTACTCTGTATATTTAATGTTTATTAAAGAATTTTCTCATAATTTTGGAGGCTGCCCTAAGCTTTGGGGCCTGATACAACTGTACCTTTATTCCCCCTAGCTCTTAAGCCCTAAAGATCTTAGTCCAGAGTTTGTCTTTTTTATTATCCATTGGCTGAGTTAAATTATTTCTTATTGTTGAAGACTGCTGGCTGGCACAATTGACTTAGTTTTATATTAGTATGTAAATCTAATTGTTAAAGCACTCAGAGCTTTGTATGTGCATTTTTGTGTCAAACATTTAAAGATCTGCTCAGAGAATTGGCAGTTTCTGTTGTCAGGGACAGCGCTACAGAAGCACAAAAGAGTTGGCGCTGTCTTTCTGTTACACCCTACAGAATATATGGTGGGTGCTTCTTTGTTTTTCCCCCTGGCTAAAACTACTATAATAGATTATCTTGAACTATGTAAGGAAGAAACTTAATTGTCAATTCTTGATATTTTTATTACGTGACCTTGGCGGCTGGTCTGTAGCACATCTTGATCTTGATTTTTCGTGCTGAATGAGAGCCAAATACAATCTGCTCTACCTTTTATGGATAGCATAACCATTTCCATTTCTTAACAATTTAATTTAAGAACGTACAGGAAAATGTACCTACCCTATGTATAAAATGTTCTGGAAATGATTGTTACTTTCCCTCTCTCTGGCAATAACCTGTTGAATACATTCTGATATTTTCACTGTATTTTCTATAGTCTTTCTTGAAATGATATTTTGGACTTTCCTGCTTCAGTATTGTCATTGAATCTCAACACCAGCAGTACACTAGGGGGGCTGTTTGACTTTTCTTCAACAGCAGTATCAAAAGGCTGTGTTGATCAGACTGGTAATCCTTTCTAGGCAAAACACATGTTTTTATTTGTGCAGAAAGTATAAACTTAAAATTTGAGACTTATTGAAGGGGTGGTATACTTAGATTTTGTGAACCTTGCCTTGGATGTTAATAACATGTGATCTTAGAATAATAGAGAATTAGGGTTGGAAGGGACCTTAGTAGGTCATGTAGTCCAACCCCCTGCTCAAAGCAGGAATATCCCCAACTAAATCATCCCAAGCAAGGCTTTGTCTAGAAGGTCTTAAAAGCTTCAAATGATGGAGAGTCCACAACCTCTCTGGGTAACCTGTTCCAGTGTTTAACTACCCTCCTAATGAGAACAGTTTTCCTAATATCTAACCTAAACTTCCCTTGCTGCAATTTAAGACCATTGCTCCTTGTTCTGTCATCTGCCACGACTGAGAACAGTCTAGCTCCATCCTCTTTGGAACCCCCCCTTCAGGTAGTTGAAGGCTGCTATTAAATCCCCTCCCAGTCTTCTCTTTTCTAGACTAAATAGCCCAGTTTCCTTAGCCTCTCCTCAGAAGTCATGTACCCTAGCCCCCTCACCATTTTTGTTTCCCTCTGCTGGACTCTCTCCAATGTGTCCACATCCTTTCTGTAGTGGGGCCCCAAAACTGGACACAGTACTTCAGATGTGGCCTCACCAGTACTGAATAGAGGGGAAGAATCACTTCCCTTGATCTGCTGACAACACTCCTACCAATGCAGCCCAGTATGCTGTTAGACTTCTTGGCAACAAGCACACACTGCTGGTCATAATCAGTTTGTCTACTATAATCCCCAGGTCTTTTTGTGCAGAGCTGCTGCCTAGCCAGTCAGTCCCAATCTGTACTGGTGCGTGGGATGCTCACTGAGTGTCTTAGTTTCCAGATTGATGTCAAGTTCTTTTGGGTTTTTTTAAAATCATTTATGTATTTAAAGGTACATCTACATGTCACAGTGTAGCTAGCTCTGGTTATCTCTTCACAGCACTGCATTATGCCATGTAGACGAAACCCAAAGACCACCCCCCTCACCATGACAATACTATTGTATACTATCTGTCTTCAGCAGAGGTATGTGAGCTGAAGTCCCTACATCAATGATTTACAAGTAAATATAAATCAGTGCATATATAACAATGATGATCTGCAGCTTTTATTTCAAAGGGCAGCACTTTTGCACTCAGCTGGAGCTCATCAACCTTCCCACACAGCTAATTGGAGAAACCGTGCCTTTTCAAATAAAAGTTGCACTAAACAGGTGGAGCATCTCAACCAGTCCTATACTGTTGTTGGCTTTGGCTCTACAATACCCTTCCTTACTTAAAAAACCCTCATCTTTATAGGCGGGGAAGGAACCTAACCCTGCAAAGTATCTGGGTTCCACTGTAATGGTATCTAAAAAGATGCCTGACATTGTAAAAAAGATGCTGTACATCATAAAAACAAATTGGTTGCAAGCAACAGTTATTCTAAAATCTAGTAAAATGTGCTTAGTATAACTTTTGGATTTTCCTCAAAGATTACTAAACTTCTTACCTTTTTTTCATTTACTGAAATACAGTACGGGCATTTCAAGATAGCTGTGAAATACCATTTTTTTCCTTTTCACAGCTTTCATTGTTAATGATGCGAGTGAAGGCTTTAACAGCAGAATGCAATCAATGGCAGAAACAAACTCCTGAAAGTAAGGATTTTCATTAAAATTTTATTTTGTAGACTTTAATGTAAAAATTTTATGTGATTATACTTTGCATTTACAAAGCACCTTCCATCCAAGAATCTTAGTTTATGAATATGTACAATGTTTTTGTTTTATGAATCATCACACCTAAGCACTTAACAGAAACTAAAATTAACTGCTACTAATTATGGTGCCTCTGTGCTTTATTCCTTGTAGCATCTCTATCCCTATCCCAAATAATTATTCCATCACTGTTCTTCAAGTTTCTCTTTAAAATTTATTTCTCCCCCAAAAAGTCTTTGTTTTCCAATTATTCCAAATAGTTTATTAGAGTGATAAGAGGAAATTTTTTTTATGCATGACTCCTTCAATTCTTCAAGATACTATTTTCTGTCTAACACCTTCAGCAACATTTGGTTCAAACTGAATAATATTTAGTTTGCTTTGATCCCAGGCTCTAATTTGGCCAAACACAGGAAAATCCAGACTGCACGATCTGTTTGACAAGATGATACCTGATGGTACTGAAACAAAAACTAGTAATAATATCAGATAGAACAAATTAAATAAATTGTATCTCTTTTTGGTTAAAATGATTTTAGAACTTTTCTACATGGGAAAATACACTGGCATTATAGTCATGTATTATCTATCTGTACATGCTTGTACCAGAAGTTTCTCTTTTTCTAGTTTAGTTTATATTGCTTCCAAAGTGATTGAAGCACAATGCAAACTCAAAATGATGACTTTAAACACTTTCAAGTGCCTGCTGTAAACTCTTAGTTATTCAAAAGGAAGTGGACTTCTTAAATGAGAGGTGCCTCACAGCTTTACTATAGATATTGCTGCTTTTCACCATATAATACTAGAATAAATTTTGAAAAGGATGTTTTCTCAAAGTCTGCTAGGCAGAAGTCAAGGCAGTGTGTCACCTTATAACAGGGACGAGCAATTATTTTGATTGGAGGGCCATCTTAATGAGTTTTGGTGAGCTATCGAGGGATGCAAGGGTACCCCCCGCCCCTTGTCAGGTGCCCCACCCTCTGGTTGCCATCTTGGGACTGAAGTCCCATTCTCTAACCCCTGACCTTTGCCACTGGAAAGTCCCTTCCCTTGCCCCTGGAAGTACTCCTTTTGGGAAGGGAGATTACCACCTTGGAACCAGAAAATAAACAAATTATATACTAAAAATCAAACATCCACAATAATGTATTATAATTTTATTTAATTTAAAAATATATATTTTGTCCTGATTTGTGTGTGTTTCTGTGGTGTATATAGAAGTGATTGCATAATAGTTCAAAATGAAGTCTTACTCTTGTATATTGTAGCGGGGGGAGGGTTGTGGGAGCGTATGGATGGATGGGTATGGGATTTGTGGTGGGGTGTGGGTATGGGGTTTGTATGGATGCGTATATATCTGGAGTGTGGGAGTTTTGGTTTGTGGGGGTGTGTGGAGGGAGAGGGTGGCTGGGGGTGTGTTTGTGGGAGGAGTGTGCCTGGGGGGGGTGTATGTGTGTGGTGGGGGGTGTGCACGTAGCAGGGAGTGGGGCTCCCCCCAGAGTCATGCAGATGTGTGTATGAGAGGGAAGCATGTGGGGGGGGGGTCTGGGTGTGTATGGGGTTTGTGGATGGAAGGTTTGTGGGTGGGATGCGGTGTGCATGGGAACCCCTGTGTGCACCCCTCTGAGCTGGTCAGCACCCGCCCCTGTGCTGCAACAGCCCAGAGCCTATGTGCCCTGCAGTGTATACATGCCACTACCAACAGCCCCAGCCCACCCCACGCCCGTTCCGGACTCGCGCTCGCCAGCGTGGGATCAGTTGGAACCCACGGGCACAGCCCCAAAACAGGCCGCTCTGCACCTGCCCTGATGCAGCCCTGTTGCATGCCCGGGGAGCATCAGGACACCGCTGTTGGACGGTGCCTGGGCCAGTCGGGACCAAGGGACCCGCTGTGGGCTGGACAAAGCCATTCCACCGGCCATATTTTGCGCACCTCTAACTAGACTAACCCGTTCAGAGAGGCATAAACTTTCATAGGCTGCAAGCTACATCTGATGAAATAGGCTGTAGCCTATGAAAACTTGTGCCTCTCTGAATGAATTAGTCCATAAGGACACCTTTACACATGCCCGAGGCTTGCTCTGACTCGTTCTAATTAGAGCGTGTCGGAGCAGACTCAGTTAATTAAGTCTGCTGGAGTGTGCTAATTAGCATGCTCCGTTTTGAAGCTCCGGGATGCTGAATACTCGTGACACCTAATTAGCACACTTCACCCGCCTTGGTGTCATTTGTATTCGGTGTCCCAGCACTTTAACTATAGTTCATTAAACAAACTTTAGTTTAAGCACCTCTGCCACCATTTTGAAGCACAGGACACTGAACACATGAGGCGCTGCAGACACTTTAATTAGAGTGACTCCCAAGAACTGCTCTAATTAAAGTGCCCTCTCCCTCCTCCACCCAACCCCAGAGCTTGTGTAAAGACCCTAAGGTGCTACACTTTCCTGCCTTCTGCCTGACTTCAATACGGCTAGCTACCTGTCTCTACTAAGAGTTTACCGTGAGGCACAAGGTAGCTTTGATTCATTTCTAAAGATATTTTTTTAAAGAAATAAAAGTAATATGAATTACCATATTGGAACAGATCAATAGTTTGTCGAAGAGTCTGTCCTTCACAGAAGTCGGTTTTAAATGTTTCAGAGTTGTGTGTAGACAACCTTCAACAAATTGAAACAGATTGTACAGTACAATCCTATAGGGGAAATTTTCTTGTTGGCTGTTCTTGGTGATCAGTCTGTGTCTTGTAGCATAAAAATTGAAAGCACTTACAATTTTTATCTTGGCTTAAATAACTGCAGATGTTAGTTCATGTTACTAAAAATATGTAATCATTTAAAACTCTAATCTGTTTCTTTTACAAAAAAATCTTGGGGCATAAAATATTTTTACTGGCCTGCTGAGCTACTTGGCTCAGAATGTTCTAATTTGCTCCCAAATTATTAGATTTATTATTAGAAATATCAATGTTATAGTTTAGAGATTGTGTATGTAATATAAATAACATTTTGCAGTCTAGGGTCTGCCTTGTTACTTGGCATTCTCTTTTTCAGCCACTTTGTCAGAGGAAAGAAAGTAGGGTTTATCTCTAAGAACCTCACAAAATTATAAGCTACTTTACTTTCATCCTGTGCTCATCCAGCTAAGACGCTCTCCATGTATCTACCCCTTAGTTTAAGTGACAGTACCTGCCTGATCCATGGAAAGTATTGATTGAGTGATACTAAGTATTGGGGTATGAAGATTAATCAGTTTCCCACAGTTTGCTATTGAGGATAAAAGCCTGGCTGTCTTGTACTCTGCTTTATATTTTTAGCAGTGGCCAGTACAGTTATAATAGATCTGTCAGTATTTTCATTATGAACCTCACTTTCAGAGGCTATAACTGGGCAGCTCCAAATTTTATTGGGCACGGTTTTGGCACAGAGGTTTGACTCCATAATACAAGTTTGATTTATTTTTGCAAGACTTAATTTTACTCATTTGTTCTTCCTGGATTTCTGATACTCTTTATATAGCTCCACGTTTGCTTAATCAGCTAAATTAAAACTTTTTAGCAAGCAGTTGGCTCTTAAAATGGATTTTTTTCTCTCTTTAAAATAAGGAAATGAGAGCAAACACATTTTTAAGTTTATAAAATAGCTGTAGTCTCAATATAATACTTTTTTTGTCTGCATAGTATAAATATTGTGCTAGATTCCTATGATTTCAATAGAATTTTCTGTATAAAAGCTTGCATGGTAATGGTTCTTTACATTACTAACATCTGGTAGTATTTTGCTTAGTAATCTTGCTACATGTTAGCCTGCTATTCTGCTTGTGACCTCCAGACTTGGTTTTTGCAACTCTTATCTAGGAATGAAACCACACACCAAGAAAAAAAGCTCCAATTGGTGGAAAATACAGTAGCCAATGTATTTGCTAATAAAGATTGCCACAGATGCATTGCCCAAGTAATCTCTGTTCTGCACTGGCTCCCCTCTAAGTTGAGCCTGGTTGAAGGTCTTTGTCCTGATGTTAAGAGTCCTCCATGGGATTGATTTTTAGTTCCTGGAGAGATTTACCTTTCCTCTGTAGTTATGATTCTCACAATTCATAATTCAGGAGAGTGACTGAATTAGACAGACTATTGAATACTCTCTTGAGGAAAACAGATTCTTTTTGGGACACTGGGAAGGCATTCTGATACTATAGTGATAAGAGCTCTACATACTTAGAATGTTTAAACTTGTTGGAAATGGTAGAAAACAAGCATTTGGAGTAAACTAAAATAGTGGGAATTGATATTGCAAAATAAAAAGGACATCAAATCATCATAAAGGGTAGAACATTGTTTTCTGTTCTTTAAATATGCTAGTGCATGAAACTACTGAAAGTGAAGAACAAAGCATTAATTAATTTGATTTTGAATGTGAGACATGTTAATGGCATCATCACAGAAATATGCTGTATTTAATTGAATACAAGACAAGGTTTTTTTTCTCCAGTCGGCATGGAGGGAAAAAACCCTCATCTTACATTTGCCTACAAGGAAACCTCATTAAATACATTGTCTATTAATTTGCTGCCAAAAATAGCATGAAAACCAACTATGAAGATGACTAAATGAAGCCAACACTGAGCATGACTATAAACCACATAACCCATATTGGGTAAACAGACTGATGGTAACACTTTTTTCTTTGGCCGTTAAAAAATGGACAGGTGTTTCCTCCACAGGGAAACTGGCACCAGTCCTGGAGGTATTGAATACCAGGTTGGCACCAGGAGGGCCAGAGCCAGCCCGGACGCCCTCTCCTTGGCACCAAAAAATGGTATATTTGATCTACCACAAGGATAGGTTAGTATAGCCTACCTGGAGAAGATATATGATAGTGCCCATCGCGCACGGTCCCACTCAGCACTGACTCGTTTTCAAGTCATAGTGAGCAAGTACATTGAATACGTTTTTACTTCCTCTTCACTCCCACAGCCAAGTTGTGCCTTTTTCCCATTTCCAATGATTCCTGTTTCTTCAGCAGACTTAAGTGTCTGGCAAGTGTCACCAAACAGGATCCCAAACAGTTCAGTCAGAATCCCTCTCTTGCCCCCTCTCTTAGCCTGTTGCATATGATGAGTGTGGCCCTGCCCTTCATAAGGTGGAACCAGACCAAGTTGCCCTGTGCCTCATCTGCATATACATTTTTGGAGGATCCCTGGACTCATAACAAGAACATGCAGTTCCAGACATTAGTGGGGAGCTAATTAGCAGGTGGCTCCTTTGTGGGGAGTTATCTAGATTATACACACGTACTGGGCGCATCTACGCATGCTGCTATGGTGCCATTGTTACTGCACCGTCATTTAATACTTCCTTTTGGAAGTACTAAATGATGGTGCAGTAATAGCCTGCAATGTGCTGTGCATGCCACGCATGGTTATTTTTAGGCACTACGTTGCCATAGTGACGTGCTATAATGAGGGAGCCCGTCGCTACAGTGACATAACTGCAGCGTCATGATTTTTGCCCATGGATGCTATGTCGCCATAGCACATTCCTATGGCAACACAGCATTGCGTGTAGACACACCCACTGAACAGTGCTGAGCTGGGGGGTCATGATGGTTTGAAATGCTGTTGACTCTGCTGGGTCCCAGCCCAAAAAACTGTATGGTAAATCATGAGCCTTTTGGTTTTGGATCAGTATCATGCATAGTTTGTATTATATATAAGTAGGTATAAAAGTGCTGCTTCAAATTGTGTTTGTGGAGTACCTGTTCTAAAACAGGTAAACAGTTTCAAAAAAGGTAAAATGAATTAATTCTGGATAAACTAAATCTATGGGTACTATATGAAAATTACTACAGCTATGTGTGTTTCAGGGTCAGTTTTCAAATTTGCTCCTCAATTCCATCTGCTCATGGAGGGCAGGGTCTGACAGTAGAAGAAGGTGGGGGTAGGTACAGGGCAAGGGGGCTACCTGACCCCCCCTTCCCTCCCCCCAATTTATTTTCTCTGTTGTAGCAGTGGTAGGGCAACAAATTCAAGACTAATCCCCAACAATTAGATTCTGTATCTGGAAAATTATAACATATTTATAAATTGTCCATATACAGAATCTAATTATTGGGGAGGTTGTCTTGTATTCAAGTAAATATGGTAGTTGTGATAACATTACAGTGGTTATAAAAGGCCTCAAATGGCTCTTTAATACCAGCTTAATTCAGAAGCATGCTGCTTATCTTTTGTTTTCTTAGGATTTTGCTTTAATATTTCAAGAACCATTTTTTAATTATCCTCTGTTTTACTTGAACATATTCTGGTGCAGAAATATTATGTATTTTAGTATTTCAACACACTCGTCACTGAAACCCATATTTCAGCTTTCTCGTGAAGGCTTAACCCACTTTTTAAAATTCTGTTGTATAATCATCCTGCTGATAAACAACATTTACTTTTGCAATTTTATCAAACCCATGTGGAATAGCCGGTATTATTTTTGGAAGACAAGTAATGCTTTCTTGAGAGAGCTACATTTTCCCCTTTTGATAAAAAGAAAGCTTTGTCACAGGAGTTGCTTATGTTAGGATGGCAGATAGGAGGACCAAGCTGACAAAAAGCTTTTGTGATACTAAGAGTTGAAGCTGGTAGGTTAGCTTTCATCTCCCTTTTTAAATAAGAAGTTGCATAGGCTTTCGTTTTTCAAAAAAACATATTTTATAAACATGCATGAAGAGGAGGGAAGATCATGATGCATTTTGTTAATTTTTACAATTTGATAGGGTTTATAACATCTGTCAAACAGCTTGGAAGTTTAGAAGTGTTGAAACCTAAATTAATCTCTTTGTATTTGCACCTTTTAAAAAGGTGTTGTTGTTCCACAGCAACAGTCAGCTCTCTTCAGATGTAACATATTTCTTTTTTCAAATTAGGTTCATTTGTCTCTTCTTTCTCTTGAACAAACTGAAGCTCTTGGCTTCTTGTAGAGTGAAGGTTAAATATAAATATAGCAAAACGTAATCTAATAGTGTGCAAATGGTTTTGGAATTCATATTTTAAATGACTTGAAGATCTGTTAATTGAATTGTTGTTCATTGGTGGCCTTCCCAAATTCTTCTAATTTCCTCAATTTTTCTCATTCTTAAGAAGGTTGAAAGCCCTTAGAAGTATGCCTAGTATCATCCCATCTCCCTATGTAATTTTATTTGAAAACATTTGCAAATTTTTTGCTTGTAGGCTGGATTAACTTGTGTCATCCTTTGATCAATAAGTTTCAATAAAATTGGAATTCAGTATATAATATTGTAAAATAAGAGTGTAGCTTGGACTGTGGAGGAAATCAATATTAGAACAATACTGGCTTTTTTCAGTGCAGATTACAATTTGATAAAGTCAGCCACAGTGGGATTCAACCAGTTTCATTTACTATCTCCCGTGTGATGATGCTTATATTATGTCTCCCTAGAAAGGTAGATTTTCATATTTTGCTAAATTTAGGGTATACCTGCATTGCAGTATTTATTGTCAGGAAAAAGATTAGTTTAGGCCCGAAGCACTAGAACTAGTGTGATAATGCCTGGGCCAAATTACCTGATGAAAATGGGAGAAAGTTAATTTAGATGGAGCACCATACTAACATACCCCTACTACATTTTTATAACTAGCTCGGTTACCTCTACCCAACACTGTGTTTTTCAGCACAGATAAATACTTAAACTTGTTAGAAATTGTTTATACTGAAATATAAGGAGAATGAATCTGTTGTATTTTTCAGTAATCTCCACCAATCCAGATGTTTTGGTAGAATTAGGAAAAGAAGAGGTAAGTCTCTTTGTTCATTACGTGGTAGTAAATTCTTATATAAGTAAGTTTTCCTTAGGTGTAAAAATGTATTTAATGGTAAACTCCCCCCTCCCTCCAAATTGAGTGCTTCTTAGTGCACTAACACTATTTAAGAGGCAAGAATTTTTGTAGGTAATAACTTTTATTGGAGTAGTTCTGTAAGTAGGAGAGATTGTGGCAAGCATTTGCGTACAAGGACTTCCCTGGACTATCAGAGCTATAACATTACTCCAACACTATCAATATTAATTTGGGTTTTTTTAATGAACTGTGTTGCAATTACTGATTTTTTTTTTTATTATAATACATGATCTTTTAAAGATAACTTATATGAAAAGCACCATAAATATTTAAGCTATCAAAGAACTTAAATTGTATGTGTTATACAGGGGAGCCAGTGATCTTGCTTCTAGAGTTCTATGGAAACAGTTTATGCAAATACTCTATTTGAGTTCTTCCAGACTTGGGAGAAAGGGCAAATCAAGAATGTGTTAGTGGTAGTATTTCAGTATGTTGGTATGCAACCTTAGCTGGGAATATTCTTGTGGGCATAACATTGAAATAAATAGTCATACTTAGGCAAATAAATGAAGACACATTTAGATTATGGGTTTTGTTTAAAAATAACCAAAGCTTCACCTACCTTTTTGGTTTGGCTACCTCCCAGAAACTTTCTTCCATGCAGTATCAATCAAGTTGGGAACCAAATTGCAGTACAAGAGCTTTTTAAGACGATGATTAGCTATGGTACTTTCCTTTGAGTATATATCCCTTCTACTGCGTGTTTGGCTTGATATTACATTTTGTGGCTACTTTTGCTGAGGGTTCCAAAATTTCTTGAATTTTGAATGTATATAAAACCCTTCTGCTGCTGGGAAATACTTTCTATTAGTTATATGTGTATTGAGCTACACTTCTATAATTTTATGAGGAGAGGCCAAAGACACCTAAAGCATAGCATATAATGGAGAACCTCTAACTTCTAAAAGCACTACATCGTTCTTATTAGTCTTCAGCAGAATGTGCATTAATACACGACTGAGTTCTGTGATGTGTCTGTATGTTCTTATGAAGAGTGAACCACCCTCAGCTGTTGCCTGAATGTGGTACTAAAATTTATTTACTGAGAAATACTCTGAAATGAACCATTTTGCAATGTCTTATTACTTTTTTTTCATTCTCCTCTCAAAGGTAGGTATACCCTATTCACTATCACTTAGTAATCAGTGTTTCTTTAAGATTACCTTACTTTAGAGAATCATTAATTTTTCTCCGAACTGATGTTTTCTTAATACGCTATTAGGTCATTTTTGTTACCTATTTGTCAATGAAGATATTTTTGGTGTCTGAAATATGTCAACATGTAAGACTAATAGCTAAAAAAAAAATCAAACTTCTCCAAACTGTACACTTCAGTTTCTTTTTCATGTAGTTGCAGAAAGTAAACCATGATCTTGAAATGGTGCTGTCTATATTTAAGGCTAGGAACAAAAAGCTGAAAGAAGACCTAAAAAGGTATGTAGTGAGTTGGGCTTATGAATACCATACAACCCTGAATACAAATCAAATAAGAATCCTAGGATTTTTGGTTGTTAAAAATTCTAATGATCTCTTGTTCCCTCTATCATTTCTCTTTTTTTATGTTTAAAGAGAACAGCAGTGGCTTGAGGAGCAGCAGCAAGTGGTAGAAGCTCTTAGTGTAATAGAAGAAGAAATGAAAAATCAAGTGGTACAGTTTTCTGAAAAACGGTATTTATAGTATTTTTTGCAAAAAGAATTACAATATTAGTATGATAAACAGTCAGATTAAAAAAAAATAAAAGATCCAAAATACAACCAGTAATAAATGACTCATTTATAGTAAATATGTTACAATCAGCCTTTACACTGTGTGATTGAGTTTATCAGTGCCATTATTACTATAGCAATGATACCATTTAATTTAATTATGTGACATATCAGTCAAACTTTACTTTTACTTTGGACTCTAGGGCATTTCAAGAATTGAAAATTAAAATGCTGAAAATTAAAGAATACAAGGAAGAACTCTCGAGTGCTCTGGGAGAGTTCCTAGAAGAACATTTCCCCCTCCCAGAGGAAGATGGAAGTGCTAAAAAGAAGAAAGTAAGAGTCTTTTTTTTAATTATCAGATCAAATGGTTTAACTTTTATTTAACTTGACTTTATGTATGTTAAGATTCAAGGGTAGAAAGTTGAATCTCTGTTAGTCATATTTTGGAATAACTGAGCTTCATCTAGTTAGTTTTTTATCTGATTATTTAATTAGTATCTTTCAAAGCTGATTATATGGTTTGTTTATATCGGTTATACTGTATTGTATGGTACAAGTTCAATAGAACAAAGTCTGAACTAGCCCAACGTGCTCCCATGTGGATACTTAATGCATATGTCTTTTGTAAAATAAGATTGTTTCTAAGGACCTTTTGCTTTCCTCACTGTGCTGTAAATTGTGCCAAATTTAGAAATGCTGAAGGGTACTCAGAAAGTTGTTCCAGGTTTCTTGCTGGCTTAGGCAGGTGAATTCATATTTTCCTTGGCAAAGCAAATTTTAATTGTCTAACAAAGTTTTGGGAACAATAATAAGTGCAAGTGCCTATAATTATAGTGTAGTTTAGAATGTTAACCATCAGTTGCCTGTTCAGGCATACTGGGCCAAAAGTAATCTTTAACCTTTAGACTAGGGACAGACATTCAAAAAGCCTGAGTCTGAATTGATTCAATCTTTGCATTCACTTTTGATTCAGGAAATGCAGGCACATGGCTGCAGTGGCTCAGGGGAGAAGCTGGGGTGGTGCTAGAGTGAGCCCTCCCACTCCGTCTACAGTGCTGAGCTGAGGGGGTGGGGAATGTGGCCGGTGCCGGCAGGACACTATGATTAGGGAGGGGTTTAAACCCTCACTGTGGCCTGCACAGTCCCCAGCTTGGGTGTACCTGGAGAGGGAGGGGGAAACAGCCTTCGCCAGGCTTTTCCCCTGCTTGCAGCTCAAGGGGTGGGGAATGTTGTTAGACCCCGGCCCTGGCCCCAGCCCTGGCTAGCACTCTGAGGCAAAAGTTGGGGAGGGAGGAGCTGCTTGTGTGGACTGTATGCATCTATATTATCCTGACAGTTAGTGCTTCATATTTGCCTGAATCTCAAACTGACAGCACTGACAGGCCCCATTAATTGCAAACCAGGTCATTTCTCACACCTCTCTCTGTACCCTGTTGAACACTGACAGATTGCAGGAAAGGGAATCTGCACTCTAATGAGGCTCAGTAATTGATGCATAGAAGCAATCACCAGCATTAATCGCTGCATAGTGAAACTTCATTCAATATAAAAGTTTCAAGGTGTGAGATGCCTGTGTCTTTGAAGCAGGCCAGCATGGAGTTTGTCAGAACACGAAGCTTATCAGCCCATCAAAAAAACAAAAGCCTCTGTCTCATTAGATTTTCTGACCTCAAGGTACAGGCATTTTGCAAAACATTTGCAAGCCACTGGCTTCTTGCTCAGGAAAAAAAATCCCTAAGCAGACACTGTTCTGTTTGCCTTTGTTTCATTGAAATTGGAGACATGCATACACACAGACACCTCTCAGCATTAGCTAGCATGGGGGTGGCTTTACCACTGGGGTCCTTGCCATGGGAGACGGAGGAAGGGATCCCTTCTTGAGCAGTGAGTGGTGATGGGAGATGGGGCAGGGGGAAGCCTGGCAGATGCTGCTGTGTCCCTGCCAGGGAGACCCCAGCTACAGTCCCCCACCCCCTTTACAGCTAGCTGGAGCTCTGGCTTGGGAGGAGGGGGCAGGGCTTAAACCAGGAACGGGTCTGGGACAGAAGTTCCATAAACTAGTTTGACCCAGGTGTATCTTAAACCATTTTCACCCATTTTGAAACTGCTTTATATGCACTGAACTTATGTTTTGTTACAGGTTCAAGCCAGTTTCTGATCACTTAAACTGGTTTATGTGTAACTTCTGTCCCTAGCCTTAGGGACAATAGGCTGTCAGTGAGTTTTACACAGCAAACTCAAAGTTCATAATAAAAGCAAAAACTGGACTGTTACTGTTTAAAAGATTTAGTTTAGAAAAGCTACAAAATAAACAAAAGAAAAGAAAAAGGGCTAATTGAGCTATCAGACATAGTTAGGGCTAAGGAGGCTCCTGGGTCATGAAGTCTAGTTCTCTGCTATTACAGGCAATGAAGTCTCTTCATAAATTCATTGAACTCCCATCTTAAAACTAATTAGTCTTCTTGCCACCGTAACTCTTATAGTCAGGCTGCCCTAGACTCTCACTCTTCTGATACTTAGAAACCTTATAATTTATAACCTAGAGTTATTCTTGGCTGGTTTATATCCATTTGTTCTTTTGCCAACATTGTCCTTTAAATAGTTTCTATCCCTGTCCCTTTCTTCCCTCTTACATATTTATATGAAGAAACCATATCCCCTATCAGTATTCATTTTGTTAAGCTAAATGCACCAATTTTTTTTAGTCTCCTTTTGAAAGCAAGGCTTTCCATTGCCCTCATCATTCTAGTAGTCCTTCTCTGCACTTGCTCCATTTTGATTTTTTTTTTCTTTCTCTACACATGGGTGTTCAGCATTATGCTTGGTTTTCCAGATGAGCTCTTGCCTGTGCCTTGTACAGTGGCAGTAATACTTTCCTATCCCTGTTGGAAATACCTTAATAGGTACATTATGGCAGTGCATTTGGTATTATGCAGCCATATCACAGCTCTCAGTCATTTTCTGATCAGCCAGTACACCCAGGTCATTCTCCCCTTCTGTCATTTCTAACTGATGAGCTGTAGCTTGTAGCAGAAATTCTTGTTGTTAATTCCTATGACCTTACACTTGTATTTTAAATTTCAGTCTGTCTTTATTACTTCCATTCTTTACTGGGGGGCCAGTGGTGGCAGGGGGACAAACGAGGGCTGTGTGACCCAGCCCTCGATCACCCTGAAGCCATCTGGCCTGCCACCACTGTTGCGTCTCTGCCACAGCATGTGGCTGGTTGACCTGTGGCCACTTACTCCACTAACACTGCAGTGGCTACTGCTGCCCTGTGCTTAAGGCCAGATCTGGCCCACAAGGAGCTCTGTGGTCCGGACTTGTCCTGAAGCCCAAGATGAGTTTGACATTTCTGTTCTAGGTCATTCTGTTCTTCTGATACTTCTGTCCTCCTCTGTATTGGCAGCACTTCCTGATTCTGTTAACCCAGAATGTCTGCTTTTTGTGCCAGGTCACTAAATGAGAATATTAAATATGATCGGTCCCAGGAAATTCTACTAGTAACCTTCTTCAAGTTCAATACTTCCTGCTTCAGTGCAACTCCAGTTACTTGTTACTTCCTACCTTACCATTCTTTTTTTGATCCTTAGCTCCTTCAGTTTAAGTAATTTCTCAGAAGGCACCATATCAGATACTCTACTGAAATCCAGATAGAAGAGCTTTGTTGCATTTCTTTGCTGCAGAAAATTGTTATCCTCTTACAGATAAATATTAAGTAGACATGCTGCATTTCTCGTTTTTGTATCCTTAATTATACTTTTCCAAATGTATTCTAATGCCTTTTGAAATATTGAGATCAACCTAATAAGTCTATAGTTGCTGCATTCTCCTTCCCTTCCTCCTTAAATAGAGATATACTGCTATATATTTTCTAATGTCCTATGGATAGGGTACCAGCCCCAGCTTGACACATTTATTAAAATTGCTTGCAAAGCCTGTGGCTTTGTGTCAGCTTCTTTAGAATTCTGGAATAGGGATTACCTAGTCCCCCAGTGGAGCTCAGTGAGCAATTGGAATTTTGTTTCCACTTCAGTTCCATTAACTTAATTCCCATTAGAATACTTCCTTTGCCTACATGTTCTACATTAATGGTGTCCAAACTTTTAGATCTGTGGGCTCGATAAGTGGTGTAGGGTTGTGTGCAGGCTGGATCTGGTCTGTGGGCCTGGCCTGATATGTGTGAGGCTGGGGCCTGGTCTGGCACACAGGGCCAGCCCAACATATGGTCCCAGCCTCATGTACCCAATCCAGTCCTGTGCCATATTGTCCCTGTAGCCTTGGCCCCACACACACAAGCACATTATCTGGTATGCAGGGCTTGGAAATTTGGCAGTAGTAGAGAGTAGTGGCAGTGTTAATTGCCACTGCTCCCCTGGTGCCAAATTTCCAGAGCCATGAGGAGCCCCACAGGCCAGATGACATGACTCCACAGTGTGGATGTGGCCCTCAGGCCAGAGGTTGAGCATCGCTGTTCTACATCATCAACCTTATTGAAAACAAAAACTGAGGCAAAGCATTCATTTAGTTTTGGGGCCATATCTTTGAGGCTAGGAACAGAAGTTATACATAAACCAGTATAAGTGATAAGAAACTGGTTCTAATCTATAACACAGCAGAAGTTCAGTGCACATAAATCTCCTTCAAAATGGCTGAAACCAGTCCAAGATAAACCTGGACGGATGTAGTATCAGACTTAACTGTTTTAGGTTAAATTAATTTATTGAACTTCTCTTTAAGATCCCCTCCAGATTCAAATTAACTCTCAGTCCCCCAGGATGCTTTGCACCTCCCCCACAGGCCCCCCCTCACAGGGTGGGCAGGCTGGCTGGTCCAAACTGTCTGCTCCAGCCAAGCAGAGTGGCATGCTTTAGCACCCCCGGCTTCTGGCCTGGGCTATTGCAGGCATGTGGCTGCATTTCCAGTATCAAAAGTAAATAAATGTCTGTTCACTTGCTTATCAGTTCAATCTACACAGCTTAGAATAACCTGTGAAGATTGAATCAATTCAACCTTGGGCTTTTTGACTGTCTGTACTTATTGTCCACCCCATCCTCCCTTCATAGCAACCCCACTACTTTTTTCCATATTCTTTTTCATATGTAAAGCTGGAAAGCCTTTTGCTTTTTGTTTTAATTTCCTTTGCAAAATTTGGTTCCACTGGACTACTCATAATTTTCACGTTATCCCTACATGTTCTGACTTTTAAGACCGTAGTTTTCTTTGCTGGGCAATTCTTTTCCATTCCTTGTCAGTTCGCTGCTTGCTTCCTGTATTTCTTTATGAGCCACTTGGACCTCATCTCCTCAGCAAATGGTCCCTAGAGCCAGGACTGAAAATGGTTAATTGCTAGTGCACCAGGGCCAAGGATGTTTTCAGCTACACTACTTCTGTAAGTTTAATTTAACGGTAGTATAAATGCTTTGTCCTTGTCTGTGTTAGCAGTTAAACTGCTTTTTCCAAATTGCTTCAGAGGGGCTCATTATTCACAACTATTATCAGGTGCTCTTTAGCTTCTTAAAACTTGATTGTACTGACACCTCCAAATACATGCCTAACTTTAAGCACAAGTAATCCTAATGACTGCAGTGAAATTTTTTCTGTATCTAATATTTAATTATGAGCCCAACTGTTTGCAGGGTTGGTATCTTAATGTGGGCAAACTGTGAGAATTAGATTGAAAACACAGGTTTTTGCTCCATTCTTAAAGAAATCAGCCCATTTGTGTTGCACAGAACAGTTTAGGAGGCCTGTCATTGAGAAAAATTGTATATGTAAATAAATTGTCTATTTCCAGTAAGGAAAAAGGTGCCTTTCTGGGGAAAGTACTACTGATCGTTCTACTTAAGCATGACTTTGTTTATGCACAGCAGTTAAATTGGAGATTGCCATTTACATTGGTGACACTGATAGTATGGAAGGTTCATGTGAATATTGAAAAAATATATATATACTCAGCCTGCCAAAAATAATCTGTGAGATGCCACTGGGCAAAAGAATGGAAGGCCACAATGCACCTTTAGAGATGTAACATAGAAGCTTTTAGATTAGATTAGTGTAGTCTCCACTTCTCCTGTGATGAAAGATAAGAACTTCACCACCCAAACCTAGCTCATCTATGCCTTGTACATGGAGACGCTTCTTGGAGTAGGATTCTGTAATAAAAGGAGTATGTCCCCAGATAGAGTTAAATTTCAGAAGTGTTCCTCTCAATCATGGTGAAGGAGACAGGATTGGGCCCCATATGAACTTTTATATTTCATATTTTTCTCTCCTTACTGCAAATAAACTACTGTAATACAATGCTAGCCAGCCCATAACTTGTATAATTGACTGAAATTCAAAATAGATAATGGTCTTAAGGATCACTTTAATAATATTAATCCTAAATTTTCGATGACCTGCTGAGGTCCCTTGCGACCCAAACATCTATGAATCTATGAAATTCAAATGATGTTTTAGTAGAAAAATATTTTTTTTAAATCGTATGATGGCAAAGTTAACTCTATTTCTTAAACTGAGGCCACAAACTTCCATTACATTTCTGGTGGGAGAATCACTTCTCTTCATTTCTCTTCTGGTAGAAATTATAGGCATACTAGTGTTCATTCAGTTTCTTCCCCTGCCTGCCCCACAGCCTCTCCCCCCACCACCAAACCCTTGCTTGGACCTGCCATCACAGCAACCCCTGCTGTGTGGCTAGACCAGAGCCAGAGCTACGCTGTGCTCTGTGCCTCTGGCCAGAATAGGACCAGACCCATTCCCGATGATAAGCGGCAGAGGCAGGGGGTCAGAGGCTGCAGGAGGGGGCAAAGAATGCAAGGGGCAGAAGCTTCGGGGGGGGCAGGGGTCAAAGGCTGTTGGAGGGGCAGAGGCAGTGGGGAGCAGGCATCTTGGGTGGGGGCATGCAGCAAGGGGGACAAATGGTGAAGGGACTAGGCCACGTGCTCACCCTGCTGCCCCCTTCTTCCCACTGTTGCTTTCTATGTTGTAGCAGGATTGAATATGACCCTCCAATAATTAGAGACCTACCGAAATCACCATTTGGTGATTTTTGTGGAAACCGTGATTTCCTGCCAAAAAGTGTGGGGTCTGTGCTTTTTGCAGGGGCTCCCTGGGGCAGGGGGAACATCACCGAAAATAAAATGCTGGCTCCCCAGAGGGCCTCCCAGGAGCGGGGAAGAGGGCTGCTGGCACAGCAAGTTGGTGGCGAGGCACAGTCAGTGCATCCAGTCAGTGGTGAGGGGTGGGCTGTATGACATAGAGCCCTCACAGCCAATCTGTGGGAAGGGGTGGGCTCATTGGGCCCCCTCAGTCAGTCAGAAGCTGGGGGGGTGGGGGGGCACTGCACTCCACCCACAAAAATGGTTTCCAGGCCAATGGTTTGCCCACTAAATCGTCTGGCAGCCTTCTTGACTTCAGTAGAACCCTACCGATAATTAGGTTCCGCACATGAAATTTTACAAATTTTCCATTTATATAATTATTGGGAGGTCATCTTAAATTCAAAGTTGTCTTGGGTTTGGGTAAATATGGTTTGTATTTAATTACTTGGTTATTCATCATGTGTTCTCATCAGTCTCATTTGTAGAATTAATACTTTTTACTTATTAAAGTTCATTAATAATGATGTATATTTTTAATAAACCATGAACCAGTTATTGATTAATGTAATATTTAATACCATTTATTATTTAATCAAACACTATTTAGATTTTTTAAATTTTCTAATGATCTCATGCCTCAGTGTAATTGAAATGTGTAACTTCTATAATGTGGTATGACTAAACAAATTTGAAATAAAGTAACTAATCCTTGATCATTGAATTTTTTGTATTGATAGGTATTTCCCCTCAATCTTCTGGCTAGATTTAAACATTTTATCTTTTTTTTTGCAGAGTCTAGCTAAAGAACCAACAATGCAGCTGATAACTTTACATGAAATTTTAGAGGTAAGATATTTTAAATGGGATACTTTTTTCTTTCCGTGCTCAACTCTAGTTTATGGCATATAAATAAAATAAATAGAGATATGTGGAAATATAGTTAAAATAACTAAAAAGAATAAATATTAATTACAAATTGTCTTACTGGGTTTGCATTTTTATCCCCGTAAGAACCCAAAATTATTTGTCAGAAATTGCTTTGTTCTTTCAGGAATAGGTTTTCCTACAGTTTGAGCTGGAAAATTATTGACTCTCAACTGCTTTTTATACTGACTATTTTTTAAGTCAGTTTTTTTTTATTTTTAATTGAAGCTACTGACAAATGTTTAATTAAAGTGCGATGGAATCTGATTCATAATCTGAACAATCACACCTCCTGCCATGCTACATGTGCCTGGCAGGAGGCACAACTGTGGGATTGGGGATCCCAATTGCACCTTGTTGCTGGTGCCTGGGGAGGCCAGGATCATAATTATCTACAAATTAGCATGCTCCATAATTATGATCCTAGGCTCCCCCTGCACCAGCATGTAGCACGCCAGGCATCAGGTGCCCTGTGCGCTTGTGGTTGGGCGTGCCAGTCAGTTGACTGGTGTTCCCATCCTAGGGTGTACCGGGCATCCAGCTTGTTACTTTCTGTGATCAACTGAGTGGTGCTCCCAGCAACAGTAGTGCACTGGTGCCTTGAAGCACTCCAGTGTGCTCCCAAGGCTGGTGCTCCAGGTGGCCAGCTCTGGGAGCACGCTGGCCACATGTTCAGTTTAAGGCACGATGGGGACCAGCCACAAACTTACACATAGGGTGTCTATACACATGCTGCAAGGGGGTGAACTTTAATTAAAGCAGCTGTGAGAGTTGCTTTAATTAAAGTGCCCCAGCATCGTGTGTATTTAGCATCCCACTCTTCAAAATGGCAGCAGGGGCACTTTAAATAAAGCTTATTTGAGCTTTAGTTAAAGCCCCCCCACTGTCATTTTGAAGCGTGGGGATGCTGAATGTATGTGATATGGAGGCTGCTGGAGCATGCTAATTAGCATGCTCCAGCATACTTGATTAATCAAGTCAGGATGCTTTTTAGCAGATGTCTGTCATGTGTATAGGTGCGCATATTTGGTGTGATAATTTTGTGGCTTATTAACAATTGTATCATGCCATAAAGTGGATGAATGTGTGGCTAGGTTACTGCTTAAAATGTAAGTAACTAGTTAATTAGTTCTTAAGTGTAACATCTGCCAGGGTCCTTAGTATTGGATAAAAATACCATATTTACTCTCATACTTCATGCACCTTTTCCCCCTAAATTTAGCCCTCCAAAATTGGGGTGTGTGTTCTAAATGAGGAAACTGGTTTGCACACCAACATGGAGACATGGGACTGTGGTAATGTTGCTCCCTTCCCAACCATGTGCAGGAGGGGTGGAGTCCACTCCTCAAACACACGCCCTTTTCTTGAGGTTTAACCCTGTTACAGCTGCTGCTGAATTGGCAGTAGCTTTTGGCTGAGCTTCTTGGTGAGCCCAGATTTTGACACTGGTGAGCATGTGTTGTGACAGTTTAAGGTTCAGGAAAAATCTATTCTTTGTTCTGCTGTCCCAAAATGAGTCTTGTGTCTTATTTGGGGGCATGTGATAGGCAAGTAAATATGATGTTTAAAAGAATGTTTTGAATAAATACCCAGTTTTCATGCATTTGTTTTGTTTGTGTTATTTGAATACAGAAGCTGTGATATACATGCACCAGGTTAATTCATTTCTAATATATTTATATGGTTGGTTTGTTCCATTTGGTCTGAGGGAATTGATGGGTCTGTTTGTATAGTACAGGGGTTGGCAAGCTTTTGTTGGTGCGGGCCATCCTTTGCAACCCCAATTCCACAGTAGTGGAGTCATGGTGTCCTGTGACCAGTGGGGTCCCCCAAGGCTCTGTCCTTGGACCCATATTGTTCAACATCTTCATTAATGATGTGGACACTGGAGTCAGAAGCGGACTGGCCAAGTTCGCCGATGACACCAAACTTTGGGGCAAAGCATCCACACCAGAAGACAGGCGGGTGATCCAGGCTGACCTGGACAGGCTCAGCAAGTGGGCGGACAAGAATCTGATGGTGTTCAACGCCGATGAATGCAAGGCTCTCCACCTTGGGAAGAAAAACCCGCAGCATCCTTATAGGCTCAGCAGTGCTACGCTGGCTAGCACTATGGAAGAAAGAGACTTGGGGGTCATCATTGACCACAAGATGAACATGAGCCTGTAGTGCGATGCTGCGGCTAGTAAAGCGACCAAAACGCTGGCTTGCATCCATAGATGCTTCTCAAGCAAGTCCCGGGACGTCATTCTCCCCTTGTACTCAGCCTTGGTGAGGCTGCAGCTGGAGTACTGCATCCAGTTTTGGGCTCCACAATTCAAGAAGGATGTGGAGAAGCTTGAGAGAGTCCAGAGAAGAGCCACGCGCATGATCAGAGGTCAGGGAAGCAGACCCTACGATGACAGGCTGAGAGCCATGGGGCTCTTTAGCCTGGAAAAGCGCAGGCTCAGGGGTGATCTGATGGCCACCTATAAGTTTATCAGGGGTGACCACCAGTATCTGGGGGAACATTTGTTCACCAGAGCGCCCCAAGGGATGACGAGGTCGAATGGTCATAAACTACTACAAGACCGTTTCAGGCTGGACATAAGGAAGAATTTCTTTACTGTCCGAGCCCCCAAGGTCTGGAACAGCCTGCCACCGGAGGTGGTTCAAGCACCTACATTGAACACCTTCAAGAGTAAACTGGATGCTTACCTTGCTGGGATCCTGTGACCCCAGCTGACTTCCTGCCCTTTGGGCAGGGGGCTGGACTCGATGATCTTCCGAGGTCCCTTCCAGCCCTAATGTCTATGAAATCTATGAAGTAGGCTGCAAGTCTGCACCCCACTGCAGCCAACTGTTTGCATTTCCCCTTACTGATAATCCCCATCCCTTGCACGGTGAGAGCTAGCACAGTTGTGGCAGAGCAGCAGGCTCCTCGATGGAGGGGAGCACTGTGTGGGGTGTGGTGGAACAGTGCAGCTCTGTGCCACTGATGTCTCATGTCAGATCAGACCTTCACAAGCCAGATTGGATCTCTGTGTGTGCCAGGTACAGTCTGTGCTACCCCTTGGTGTAGTGTATTTCAGAGAGATTGTCAAGGATGCCCAGATGGTTGACTAGACAATCTTACTTGTTTCTTTACAAATTATAATAAATTATTATGAAATTGAAATTATGAAAGGGCCTTTTGGCTCCCAGCATCCTCTCTTACTCAAAGCTTTGTATTTGGGATTATGGCTTTTTCCCTTCAAGAAGTTACTGGGATGTGTGGGAGAGGCTGTGAAGGAAACCTTAGGGAATAACCACATTCTGGTATTCAGATGCGGTCACTATGACATTGTTATGGTTTACTTGAATGTGCAGACTGTGAATCTGTACTTATGTCATCAGTTTCAAATTCATATTACCTGCTTCAAGTATCTCGGCATGACTGTTAATGCCAAATTAGGTAGGATTTGAAAGTAAATTAGAAAATAAAATAGCTAAATGAGTGGCTACTCTCTGTGGAAACATCATATCAAAACATTTAATATCTTAGAATTGCCCTTCATATTTGTCTGAATAACTTTAAAAGCTCGAAGAGTATCAGAATACCTAAATGAAATCTGTTTCTCTTTGGAAGAACAAACCAGTTTCAGAAATTCAGACTTATTTTTTATTTTAATTATCTTGGCCTAAGCATTGAGTGTCACTTATCTTTGTTTTATGTTTTTGTTGAGCAACTTAGTTCTAGTCTTAGTGCCTGTTAAATTTCAAAACTGTTGTCTTAGATATAGAGAATTGTTTCTTAAAGAGACAAATGCAAAACAAGACAAGTTTTTGTACTTGTGATTGCCAATTTAGGATTTACTATTTGTAGAAATCTAAGACACTCCCATTCATACCATGGTGACAGCTGTTTAATTAAAGCCCCATAAAAATAAGCTTAACTCACAAATACAAGTTAGGCGTAAACTGCAGTACACCGGGACAGCTATTCTTAATGTAAATGTGCAGTTAAATACACATTTAAAACATACATTATTTTACCTTGCATTTTAAATATGTATCTTCAATTACTCCTCCAGCAGAAATATGGACTTTGCTATGTCATATGCCTTTAAGTTCCCTTGCAGTTTCCTTTCACAGGCTTCAGTAATTTTTCTTATGCTGCTTCCTATATTCTAGGAATTTTTTTAATAAAGAATATAACTTTTGTTCTTCAAATTGCTTCAGTGACGATTCTCATTTCAGTCCGATTAAAATTTTTTATAAAATAAGTTTATAATCAACTTGATGCTTTTAGAAAATTGTAGACATGAAAAATTAACATTAAAAACAAGAGAAATAGAGAGCCAGTCATAGGTGACATGTGGGGAGGTACAGAGAGGGGTATGTGCCGCCCCAGATTTCTGGCAGTATGTGAGGCTGCAGCCCAGCCAGAGCCAGGGCCCAGCAGCAGTGGGGCCCTGGCTCTGACTGGGCTGCTGCAACAGTGTTGGCACAGAGTTGTACACAGAACCCCTGCCCCCTCCCCCACTGTTAACACTTACACATCATCTATGGACCAGTGATTTATAAAGATTTAATGGAGTTGTGCAAAAGTCTTACACAGAAACAGTTGATGAAAGAATACAGATTAATATGACGACAGATGAGAAAAAATAGGGTAGATGACTAGATGTAGTAATATATTGGCAGATAAGTTGAACAAATCTGGAGTTTTGAGACAAGGCAGTCACCTTTGATCTGAATGCTGGAACCAATTATGGTGTTTGGAGATAGACGTTATGATCATTTTCTTTGAACCAGTGACAAAGCAAGTAGAAGCATTCTGTACATGCTAAAAGTCTGGAGAACCTAGGATTTATGGAAGACAGAGACTGGAGTTGCAATAGCTGAATTGGGACTTATGTTTACATTCGGTCAGCGCAGTGGTGTTCATGGGCAGTACTGTGCTTACTGTCACCTTCACAAAACATATGCCATATATGGAATAGGAAGCATATATCAAGGCAGATGTTAGGTGTACAGGCAATGGTATCTAATGCTATATTTACCCAAGTGCAAGACAACCCTGAATTTTTGATGACCTCCCAATAATTAGATTCTATATGTGGAAAATGTTATACTTGATCCCTCCTCTTCCCCTCCCTGCAACCAGTTACCCGTGCTAGCAGGTTCTGCCTACAATGAAGCCTGTGGCACAGAGCATGGCCCTGGCCTGGCCCTGTAGCAACAGTGTGGAGCTCATTCTGCTACTACAGGGCTGGACTACAGTTGTGCTCAGAGCTGTCCCTAGGGGTGTGCAGGGCCTGGGGCATATCACCCTGGGGTGGGGCAGGTTGGTGAGCAGCAGAGGAAGAAAAAAAAAATTGGGGGCACCGAACGTGCGGGTGCATATGCCCTCCCCTCCCCGCCCCCCCCCCCAATGGAAAGGTCTGCAGGGGGAGGTGAAAAGGCCACAGGGGGGAGTGGCATTGCCTAGTGCTGCACCATGCTACACCGGCCCTGGCTGCTTCCCGGCCCCGGCCGCACCAGTCCCAGCCCCGGCCAGCTCCTGACCCTGGCTGCCTCCTGGCCTTAGCTGCGCACCACCCAGGGGTGGGGCCCAGAGCTGGGGGCTGGAGCAGGGCCAGCCTCGGCTGCACTGCTGGGCTGGAGGGCTCCTTGCCTCCACACCTCCCTGCTCCCAGTGCTTCAAAAGCGGAGAGCGCTGCCTTGTGCATCCCAGTGCTGGGTGGGCTGGGCAGCAAGGCACATTGCGCTGTACCACGCTGCTTTCAAAGGAGCAGTGGCGAGACACGGAGCAGCTCGCAGCTGTAGCCTACTTGCCCTTTGGAAAGATCAGGGGGCCACATGTCCCCTTTCCCCCTTGGCTGCCCAGCACCACGCCTCTGGAGGGGCCACTGGGCTCTGATTATCCCACAACCTGGCCTGGCCAGGGCCTGATGCCCCATGACTGGGGCCCTGGCCGGGCCGGTTGTGAGACAATTGGAGCCCAGTGGCTTGGCCAAGGGTGTGGCGTGGGGGAGTCAGGAGGGGGGTGGAAACCCCTCCCCCCCACCCCCTTGGCTCCCCGCAGTGTATGCAGCATTGTGAGTCGCCTGCCCACGCCCACGGAGGAGCCGCCAGGCTCTGACTGTCCCATAACCTGGCCCAGTCGGGGCCCCAGTCATGGGGAATGGGGCCCCAGTCAGGTCTGGTCATGGGACAGTCCCCATAGTGCAGCAGGGAGGGGGAAGGGGTGAATGATTCGCCCTTCCCCTACCCTATTCTTCCCTGCACTACAGGGGTCTCAATCTGCCACCCCCGCCCCCAAGCCCAGGGTGATAAAGAAGATTCAAAGAAACTTACCTGCCTGCATGCGGATGGGTCAGCTGCAGTGCTGGCTGCGAGTGCAGGGTAGCTAAGTGTGCCTGCCTCTCCCCCCCGCGTGTGGCCTAAGGCTATGCCTGCTGCTGCCCTCCATTTGGGGGGCCTGGACACCATTAGCCCCCCTTCCACGGCCAGCCAGAGCCGGCAGCGTGTGGCGGTACATGATAGGGCCTGTACGGCACTGTCCGCAGGGCCCGGGGTGATCGCCCTGTTTAGCCCTGCCCTAGGGATGGCCCTGTCTGCGCTCTGTGCCCCAGGCTGCTGTGGGGATGGAGCCCGCCAGTACAGAGCATGGGCAAGGGAGGAGCAGAGGCTGCAAGTGGGGAGACGGAGGGAAGGGGGTGTAGGTCTGAGGCTGTAAAGGAGCAGAAGCAGCTTGGGGAGGAGACAGGGGAAAGAGGGGACAGAGGCTCAAGATCACAGGGGAGAGAGGCAGGGGGTGTAGAGGCTGTATGGGGAGCAACAGTTGTGGTTCCAGCCCAACCCTGGGGTTAGGGCTAGTGTTGGAGCTGCAGCAGCTGCCTGCCCACCCCACTACCTTGTACTTGATTCCAAGATGAGGAGCTTCCCCTCCATGTTAAAAAGGGGGAAAACCTTGTCTTGGAATCAAGTAACTACAGTACAAAAATTAAGTCAAGGAGAAAGTGTCGTATGTTACCTATCATGCACAAAAGGAGAGAGGGCTCATGTTTGAGAAATAAATTAAGGAAGTTGAGTAATCCATTTACCAGCTTGGTGGTTGACAAGCCAGGAGTGACAAAGCAGAAGCATAAAAGTATTAATATATGATATATAGAAGGAGATAGTTAGCTGTGTTAGTTGGAAGTTATGTAAAAGGCAGGGCAGTGTGACATCTTGTAGATTAAGTCATGCAGAGAGGCATGAGCTTCATTTAAAGGACCGTATTCCTTTCTGCATAGTATCTCTGCTCTGAAAGTCCACTCTGACAAAGCAGACTGTCTGAATGAGTTAATCTGTAAAATGCCACACTGACCTGCTTATTCCTATATGATAAATAATAATGCATTACTTTTCTTAGTTGTGCAATTAGGAGGTAAAGTTAAAAGTACATAAAAGATGACTGAAGCGGGTTGGGAAAGTAGAAAGTCAGAAACGGAGCCTTTTCACTGAGAGGGTGATTAGAGAGGTCAGAGGATGGAAGTTTTACTGTGCTGAAGTCTGAAAAGTGGTAAGGAACAGAGCTTTCGTTAGCAAGAAGCTGTTGGAATTGCATAAAGTAATAGGATCTTCTGGTTGATGAGTCTGAGTGAGAAAAAGCACTTAAAAAAAGTGTGTTTGCCTAATTTGCTCTCAACGTTGGAAGCTTACATATTAAATGCATGCTAAAATTAAACTTCAGCATCATCAGGATGTTTTTATTTTAAAAGACATATAGGAAATTGCTTCCTATTGTCTTCATATTGAACACATTATATAAATGTACAAAGACCCCAAATCAGCTTTTGATAAGGGGGAAAATTTAAGTAAGGGACAAGAAACAACTTAATTTTTTATCTTATATTCTTAACGTTGATGTTAATGAAAACTAATTGAATATTATTTAGTAAATTTCTCCTGGCAGAAAACCTTGTATTTCTTGGGTAAGCAATTCCTATGATAGCCATATTAATGTTTTTATTGGTTTAAGTAAATTCAAATTAATCTTTTTTCCCCCTGCATATTCTGAATCTTATTTTCTTGGTCTTCCAGAGTCTTATAAACAAATTGATGAGTGCACCACATGACCCATATTTAACAATCAATGACACTTTTTGGCCTCCTTATATCGAACTGCTGCTGCGATATGGTATTGCGCTGAGACATCCAGATGATCCCAAGAGAATACGCTTAGAAGCTTTTCATCAGTAAATGGACCCTACATCAATATTTTAAAAACAAAAATTGTTGATCCAATATTTAAACTTAACAATTCTTTGTTATTTTTATCACAATTTGGGGGCATCAGTAACCTTTTCTGCTTGGACAGAAAACTTAAAAAAAAATACAAACCCTAACTTTCTTAGGTGCAGATTCTTAAAAGCTTGTGAAATATGAAAAATGACAGAATTCTCTTCACTTTAAGTAATGATGATTTTTACTCATGATTTTTAGTGACTTCACAATAGTTGCTTCTATACTAATAAAATAGTCAGTGCTTGTATTCTGAAAATTTTTCAGGCTGCTTAGTTAAGATTCAAATTCAAGTTAAAGGACTATTGTTTGCAGACAAAATGATTAAAGATACTAATTGTCCTTTGATTTTTTTTTTTTTAAATAATGCTTTGCATGAGGCATCTTTATTTTCTTAAATACCCCTCACTCAGAATGCCTCCACTACTTTGCTTTCTTGTATTATTTATGGGGCACTTGTGTAGTGCTAAGGTTTCAAATAACTCAAGGCTGTATGTGGACGTGAAGATTAAAAAATTTAATTGGAAAAATTGGAGAGAATATGTTTACATAGCAACATATTTGTACAAAGAAGTTCTTGGGATATCTTGTGAACAATTGCTTGGTTCAAGATGAACGTTCTGGAGAATCCACCCAATTTCCATTCTGAAAGAGCTGTGGATAACCAACATAACACTTGACTCTTGTATATCTCCTGAGAGGAACTCCTTCATGCAGTGTACCTCTTTGGTTTAATAAGAGTTACATAATTTTTTCAGATTTGATTAATCAGGCTTGTAATACTGAATATTGTCTGTGCTTTTTTACAGCTTCTAAATTACATCTCAGACACAGTGAATCTGTCAGTTTCCAGACTGATCCGTTGTGGCCACCAGTAGTCTGTATAATATTTATTTGCATGTACCCCTCATCACAGTAATGTCTGAACATACACATATAAAAGCTAGGGACAGGCATTACACAAAAAACAGTGTAAGTGATCAGAAACTGGTTTAAACCTATAAAAGAACAGATGTTCAGTGCACATAAACTAGTTTGAAAATGGCTGAAACTGGTTTGAAATAAACCTGGTTAAATGTAGTATCAGGCTTAACTGATTAGGCTCAAACTGGTTTATGCCATGTCTGTCAGAGACCCCTTGCTGGTTTAAAATAAATCAAAGTCCCCCAGCATCCCCGCAAGCTCTCTGGTTGAGCGGGGCTCTCTGCTCCACAGCAGGGCTGGCCCCTCCCCTTTGCTGCCTCTCTGGAGCTTGGCAGTCTCTACAGGCATCTGTCTGGCTTCTGCTTCCCCGCTCCCCTCCCCACTCTGTGCTAAGCAGGCATTCCCCCATCCCTCACAGACACCTCAGCATTAGCTAGCAGACCACATGCTGGCTACAGTCTGCTGTGGGAGATGACAGAGGCAGACAGGCTTTTTGGAACTATTCAACAGGTAGCTTAATGTTCTTCCTTGGGAAAACTGTTTAAGAGCTGTTTGCTCCCCCCACCACCCCCTCACCACTGCCTGCTAAGCGGAGAAGGTATCTGTGTGTTAGCTAGCAGACCACTTGCTGGGTCCATGCTGAATCAACAGGCAGAATCAACAGGTAGCTGGTAATGTCCCTCTGTTTTCTTAATAGGGCGATAAACATTGAGACAGGGGTGACACTGTTATCAGCCCAGCCACCCCCCAGCTTGCTTGCCTGTCAGTTTGCTGCAGACAGTATACAGAAGCAGGGAGGAAGATTGAAAAGCTCTGTATCATCAACAGATGCGTGCACTGCACAACCCTGCTTTGCCTCAGTGCTAGCTGGGGGCTGGCAACACTCCCGCCCCTTGAGCATAGTGTGGCCATCATAGAGGACATTTCGGTTTTCTGCTACTCTGTCCTCTATTGATACAAAACCCGACACCTTTATGTCCTCTATTTTTCTCTTCAAGAAGAAAATAGAGGACATACAGGTATCCGATTTCATAGCAATAGAGGACAGAGGACAACTGGACTGTCCTCTATGATGGCCACCCTACTTGAGCAGCGAGCCAGGAAAAGCTTGGGACTGCAGGCAGGCTGGGGGGTTATACCCCTCCCTAATCAGAGTCTCCTGCTGGGACCTGGCCACACACCCCTCAGCTCAGCTCTGCAAGGGAAGGGAGGGCTGCTCTAGCGCCCCTGGGCTTCCAGCCTGAGCCACTTCAGGCATGTGCCTGAATTTCCTCAGTCCAGAGGGATTGTCTGTATGGTTGGAAACCTGTTCCGCCTAGCCAGGTTAGACTAACCTGCAAAGGTTAAATCAATTCAGGCTCAGGCTTTTTGAATGTCTGTCCCTAGCCTAAGTGACTTGCCCAAGGTTTCATAAGAAGCATATGGCTAATCCTGAAGCTCCATTCCTGCAACAAGTGTCAGAAAATCTAATCTGCCTTTGATTAACCAGATTTAAGGTAACCTGGGTTTACATGTAAATAACATATAAACCCCTATTATTTTCAGTTCATACGGTGTCTTAGATTAATTTGGGAAAATGTATGAATAAGTGGCAACTGTGAAGCTATTTGTCATGATCTGCTTCTGTAGTTGCTTACACTTATGAAATATAAGACAACTCAATGGCAGTGCCTCCAACCCACTTTGCTTGAATTACAGTATTTTGATGGATGTAAATTGAGTTTAGTATTCAGGATTCATAGATTCTAGGGTCGGAAGGGACCTCAATACATCATCGAGTCCGACCCCCTGCATAGGCAGGAAAG